CGAGCGGTTCGTTGAGGGGCTGTCGATGTCTTGTGGTAAAATGATGCGTGTTCTGCATCACGGCTTTTTGGTCGCTAGGTGTTCTGCAGGGTGTTTTTGTTGGACTCCCGACACTCCTACAACAGTGATTAGCCTTCTAATTTTCTTTTTTATTTTTAATTAAATTGCTATTTTTAATTAAATTGCTAGGAACACTGTCTCAACTTAAAAAGGCTCTGATGCGGCCTTTGCACTACACGGTGTGATTTTAAGTTTTTAGTTCATATGGCTTAAAAGAGATGCTTGTAATGGAAGGTACATTTGTGTTTTCAGGTTACTAACCAGGTTTGTTGCATTTCCTGTTTCTTTTCACTCTAGACGTTACTGCATTTAAAAGTGTGGACAATTTCTTTGTTTCCAACACCTAAAATCCTGCCATTAAAGCGTGCCTAACTATAGATGGAATGTGATGGAAAGAGAAGTTTGATACAGTTCTTTGTCTTTAAATTCTTCTTTTCTCCCTAGATGTGGCAGTCTGCTTTAAGCACTCTGAATCCAAACCCCACCGACAGCTGTCCTCTCTACCTGAATTACGCCACTGTGGCCGCTTTGCCTTCCAGGGTCAGCCGGCACAATAGTCCCTCTGCAGCTCAGTTCATCACCCGACTCGTTAGAAACTGCCTTCCGGGAGGTGTCAACAGATGCATTGTTGTAAGTGGCTATTTGAAAATGCTTCTGGTGAAATGTCTGGTCAAGTGTTTTCTCGACTTTGCAGGTTTTCAGCTGTATCCAAAGAGACTGGAGGTGGGCGAGTTTTACCGCTATAGTTACACTGACGTTTCTGAGTGGTTTTGCACTGACATGTAAACAAGACCTAACTGTAACAGCTTATGTATGTTCAAGTAGTTGGAGGGAATTAAGGCTGGATATGTATAGTTAGGAACATCCATGCGAAAGGAACTGGTGGCTTTTTTTCAAACTAGGATTTTTGACATTGGCACATGCTTCTGGAGATTGATGTAGCTGCGTGCAGGGTGCTACGTCTACGTTGCATAACCCATTTAAGGTGCTTTGTTTGGGTTATTCAGTGAGTTTTAAAAGTCTTAATGCAAACTAATGCTCCAGCATAAAACCTTTACAAGACAAGCTCTTGGACTGCTTTGGTCATCTTCTGTGTATGCCTGATGAATTTGCTATTTGTTTCTGTGGCTTCTCCAGATTGATTCAGATTTCTAGGCTGTTAGAGAAGACTCATATAGTTAATGTCAGTAACAGAATCTAATTATACTCTTCACTTGGAAAAATTATTTGCAAGAGTAATAACTCCACTTAATTTTTTTCACTTATAGTTAACTTTGAAAAAGTTTAGCTAAAACTGCTTTCCATTGGTAATTTTTGTAATGAACTTCAGTAAAATATTTTATATGTTAAAAAGCTTTTATGTGAAAAAGAATGTGGAAGCCACATTCTCATAGAGTTTCTCTCTTTGTCTCATTTGTTTGAAACACGTTGATGGTTCCCATGCTTTTTTTTTTTTTTTTGTCTTGATCTGTAGGCTGACATGTGTTAATTGCACTGGTATAATTAAAGCAGTCCAGCCCCCTTGTAAGGATGTACTAATTCCCACACTGTCAAGTCCAGCAGTGGGAGTCATTTCCATGTAGGAAATTAACGGAACCAGTTTGATGTGGTACTGTTGGGACTGCTGCTCCATCCATGCCAAACCTGATGTGTTGAGTCCATCGTGATGCAGACACCACTTATTTCCCACCCACCCCCTTCTTTTCCCCACTTCACCAATAATGTTGCAAGCAACAGATCCTTTTCAGCGTGGTCTTCCTCATCCTTGGTGTGGTGTGACTTGTCTGTCCTCTGGCTGGTGTTTCAGATGGTCTGTGAGCGGTCTGAAGTCTTCGCTTCGGCGTGTGCGCTGGCCAGAGCTTTCCCCCTGTTCACACACCGCTCCAGCGCCGCCAGGCGTGCCGAGAAGAAAACTGTCACCGTGGAGTTCTTCCTGGTGGGGCAGAACAACGGGCCGATAGAAGTGACAACGCTTAAAGTAAGATGGGGTTCCATTATCATCATTATACTTTTCCATTATTCCCTGATTTTTTTTCTTTCTTCAGTTTGTTGGATGTACAAATATGTGGTGTCTCAGGCTACATATGGAATAGGTGGTGTGTCCAAGTAGAAAATTGTCCTAGGTCAAAGTGCCTTGAATTGGGTCTGTTCACAGCACCTGTGAGTAGAAATACTGAACACATTACTGCAGCAAAGGCTGAAGATGTTATTCAGAATATTGATTTCTGGAGTGGCAAACACCAAACCAATAGCATAAAGAAAATGTCTCATTTCTCATGTTTGTCATAGATGCAAATAGTGTCTTTTTAGCCTTCATTGTTATGTTGCCTTTGGTGTGTGGACTTCTCACTTTCTTTTACCCAGGCAAAATCTGTATGTGGCTGTGCAGGTGAATATCACAGTGAAGTCACTAGAAGCTGCTTATTCTGGGATCACATATGGCCTCTGCTATTTCTGTCTGATGTACCTCTTTGGCTGAGTTTTTCTAGCAGAACTGTAGCCTGAAACAAGATCCTAAGAAACTATACAGCTTGGAGATGAGCTGTACATAACAGTTAAATATGTCTAATTTGTCCTTCAGTAGCAGATAATCACAGACTGTTTCCCTTTCCCCTGACTATTGCAGAGAGTAAACTCCAAGTCAGGTAAATTTTAGTATGCTAGGACATTCCTATTCCAAGATCCTAACTTAAAAGATATTCCAGAAATTGCACTTATGCTGTTGGGCAACTTCCCGTTCAGTGCTCCAGGTTCTGTGCTTCAGTACACATGGAAGCTTGCTTAGCTGATCAGTCAGGGAGGTTATACAAAAAATTTTGGCAATAAATTTGACAAAGGATATGGTGTTGCTGCATCTGAAATTCATAGAATTGGAACTTTAGGGTATCCTTTTTTTCCTCCAGTATCTTTTCCTCAGTGCTTTGTCCTAACTCTGTGAACCAGTTTGGCCACAGCAAATGATGCCAGATGAGTTTTCAGGAAAGTACCAAAGACAGACGTGCTGTGAGTACTACTGTCAATTTTTCCATGCCCCAAATCAGAAAAAATATAACTGGTGTCAAAAATAGTTCCTTCAGATAGGTGGATTCCAAACCACTTGGGTTATAAAAAAAAAAAAGCTGAAATTATTTCTGCCTCCTGTTCTTTCCCTTGATGTCAGTGCCAAAACTATTACTGGCTTCCTCCAAGCTAAGCTTTCACCCCTTAAATTCAACCAGCACCAGACAGCTCATGCAGAGTGTGGAAGAGGTATGTGGCAGGACTTTTTTAGCTAAACCTCTCTTAGCACGTTGCTGTATTTTGCACCTACTGCATTGTCCAGGGTTTTTTATGTTGAGGACTAGCAGAGGTGGTCATAGTTCTACAAGGCACTTATTAAAGGCTGCTCTTACCCAGGTTCTCTTGAGCACTCTGGAAGCCAAACCCTGGCACAGCTGACTTCTGTAAGTCATATTGTTTCCCTCAGACTTGGCCTTTGGGTTAGAGCAACTCCATTTACCTGCATGGCCCTAATGGTGATTCACTCCAAACCTAGGTTGGCTCCTGAGGAGATCTGTATCCCTTTAGGGGAAGTAAAGCAATCAAAAGTAATTGTAGGGAGTCGGGCACCGTTCCAGAAAAAGCCAAAGTTAAGGAGTCTGCAGGGATACAGGATGGCCAAGCCAGACTTAGATACCTCAGCATGAATGACTCTACAATGCATCAGATTCCTTTGAAACCCTCATGTGCTGTGTGTGGTCTTCAGTGTAGTGTGGCTGCTGGAAAGCTTGAGCAAAATTTCATTCCCCCTAGTCTTTTTGTTCCAAGTTCTCGATTCGCAGGAGTTAAAAGTTGCAGGTAGTGTCTGGTGCCCTCATTGTCAGGAGGTTCCTTCTTTAAGGAAGCAGCCTCGGCATACTCACTGTCGACCATTTTGATTCTGTCCACTCTTGGATATTTCGTGCACAGTCCAGGTGAGGGTCAGTCCATTTTGTCACAGGAATGAGGGAACAGATGCACGTGTGTTTTACGCAGATATGAACTATTCCCCATGGGGCTGCTGTATAGAATGTCTTATGATAGTCCTCTGTATTGCACCCAGCCACTCTGCCTGCCATATATAAACTCTGCAGTTTCCCATGCTGTAGATTATGTATCTCTGCAGGTTTCCAAACTGAGCAGCCATCAAGCTGATTGTGACTTCTTCGGCTGGCTTCCCCTTGCCTTTCTTTCCTCCACCTCACTTTGCCTTCTTGGTCTCACTTTGATAGTGGACAAGGCTACTAACTTTGCAGTATCATTTCACTGTGGTAATAAGGAATACAGTTGCTTAGAAGTTAGAACACAGGGAAAAATAACATAAGCTTAACACATACCAGAAATAATGATCAGCTTGGTTGACATTATTTAATACTGTACAGCTGCCTGTGATCAGTTGCAGTTAAGCAAGAATGTGCTCCAGTAGAACCAAGCACCAGTTCTGAGGTGTCCTCACTTCTTTTCATAGTGTCTGGCAAGTGCTACAGAAGGAGTCAGGCTGGCTGCTCGAATTGTGGACACCCCGTGCAATGAGATGAACACAGATAACTTTCTGGAGGTAGGTAATACACCTGATGAGTAAGAGTTACTAATTGTAAGTCTAGACTACAGTAATCAAGCACGCGTGTTGCCATCTCTTAGCAAAACCTGGATGTCAGCAGTGGGAAGCACATCAGAGAATGTGTCCAAGGATGCTGAGGCTGGTTTTTTGGCCTTTAATATTTCGTAGAACTTGGGTAAGTTGGAAGGAGGCAGAATGTACAGCTTGGAGTAAGGCACTAGGAGTCAGAAGACTCAAGTTCTTGATTCAGCCATCACACTGGCTTCTTTGCCAGTGCTAGTGTTGTCTTAAGCCTGATGGTGATAAGAGTTTCTGGAATAATGGAACAGAACTTGACATGTTTCCAAGTGACTTTTATCATAAAGATCTGGAAAGCTGTTGAGAAAGAAAATATTCCTGTCCTATTGCATCATGATCTAATAGAGTGAACAGATGGCCTTTACCTCTGAACATTTCTTTTATTGGCGTAGCTTAAAGGTCAGATTTGTATTTCATGCCATAGTAAGTCAAGGATGTCTCCATGGAATTATACCACTGGAAAACCAGCAGCACTCCCCAAATGGTGAATGTTTGTATGTGTATGCATATAAAAGTCATTGGAAAAACACAATGTGTCCTGATGACTGACTGACAATATCCTTTTTCTTTCAATGATTAAGGAAATCAAAAAAGTTGCCAAGGATCTTGGGATTACTCCTACAATTATTCGAGATGAGGAGCTGAAAGAGAGAGGATTTGGAGGTATATCTTGCTGAAAGTTCAGCTTTTTTCCTAGCAGTTAATTGAAATGCTTTTCCGTCTCCGTTGTAATGTTTCAAAAATGTGCAAATAAAACAGTTTTGTTGCCCATAGTATTCCAAGCCTGCTCCCCACAGTCTTTCTTCCCCACAAGTGGTTTAATTCTGTGTTCCAGGTATCTATGGAGTTGGCAAGGCAGCTCTGCATCCTCCAGCACTAGCAGTTCTCAGCCACACTCCGGATGGTGCTACGCAGACCATTGCATGGGTGGGCAAAGGTATTGTGTATGACACTGGAGGACTCAGCATCAAGGGAAAGGTGTGTAACACTTGTTCTGTTGTTTTCATTGCTTACACTGATGGAAATAATTCAGCTAATGGCTGTAGGAAACCAAACACTTCATCTGCTGTCATCCATATGATGATGTGATCCAGCTATCAGGGGAGAAGACCAAATAGGATTCAAGGAATACTTTATAGAGCTGTTAAATAGCTGCCTGATATTTTGACCTCCAAGCATTACCCACTGCTAGGAGAAAACCAGAAACAAAGATGTTTAATTTCTAATTTTGGAGATAGATCTAAACCCTATTTTACTTTTCCTCAATGTAAATCCTGTAAACAACCATTTTCATTTTTTTTTCTTTTCTGACAAACCAGCAGCAGAGGTTTAGTATTTTCCAGTTCTAAGGCAAGATCCACCAATAAGGAGATGCACATGTGCTGTGTGTCTGTTACTGCTGAGCACTGTCACGACCAGAGTTACAGAAGCAGCAGAAAACCTGCTTCCAGCAGGCATTACTGTGAAATTCTCTTCTAAAGAAAAAAAAATAAATTCTGCGGTTCTGTTTAAACAGACTACTATGCCTGGAATGAAACGAGACTGTGGTGGAGCAGCTGCTATTTTGGGTGCCTTCAAAGCCACTGTAAAGCAAGTAAGTAAAATGTGTTAATTGATATCATGTATCCCAGCATTGCCAAGGAGCAGTCTTGCTTTTGGATATATTCCCAGATATGGGGGCCAGTCTAATCCTGGATTTCTGACCTGCCACTGCTATTAGTGATCTTGAGCCACTCTGCTTTTTCTGCTATTTCAGGAAAATATTTCAAGTCTTTACCAGGATCTTGAGAATTTTGGGAAATTCCTTGAGTGCTGGTATTTTTTAAAGAGACTGTCTTGGTTTTCAGGGTTTGTTCTGTGGATTGAGTGGTTTCTGGTTCCTTGGATCAGATTTATGCTTGAGTTATCCAGTGCTGATTTTATTTAAGCTCTGGGATTTGGGGCAGCTGTTGTCCCCTTAGCAAAAGTGGGGATGAGTGACTCTGCAGTGCAAGGTCTGTCCATCTAACAAATCCTGTGCCACTTCTAACGTTAACCTGCTGGGGAAGTGGCAGCTCTGGTCTCATCAGGAGCTGCTTGTTGGTTTGCTTCTGTGGTCAGAAAGGAACAGGGGAGCTGAGAAGAAGCCAGGTAGTGAAATATGAAGAATTAAAAAAATGCATGTTGGGCTTTAACAATATGAACTGGGGGAAAGAGCTGACTGCTGCCAGTAAAACTGTCCTCTCCACAAATCCAGTGCCTGAGTCTTGCTGACAGTGCAGCTATTGCCTCCAAGGAGTATCCAAAGTTCAAAGAACATTGGCTGCTGCAGATTAATGTATATATCTGACAGAAGCTTTGTCCAGGGGATGGTCAGTGCCAAATGCACATTTCTCAGCTGTGTAGCTCTGTGCATTGGCCCTAGCAGCATGTTTGATGTGGAAAGATTGTAAACTTCACAGTTATGTGCAGAGACTGCAAATTGAAGACAGATTTGTGAGCTGCATCTTAGGCAAAAGGGCTACCTGTCCGTAACTCAGTCCTTCAGAAAGTTAGGTCACTGGTTTTCAAGGGACAAGAGCCAGAACTTACACAGTGCTGTGGGAGCGTTTGGGAAAGCCATGGATGGGGCATGTTCTTTCAGTGATGCTGTCCTTGTTTCCAAAGTAGTTTTGTGTGGAATTGTCTGCACTGAGAGAGGTTCCATCTACCACCACAGTAGGTGTGAATGTCAGTGATCTGTCAGTTCATATGCAGTTATTGTAACAATGAGTAATGTGGCAGTGATATGTTCACTGTCAGTTGAACTGAGCCTGAAGAAGCTCTTACACCTCACAGGAAAGCTGTGCCTTTATATGTAAAAACAAAATTAAGCAGTGAGATCATCCTTTCACAACCTCATGTGAGAAGATCTATTAATGAAATCCCTCCAGAAAATGTATTCAGATGGGCAGTGGAAAGAATTTGTGGTTGTTACTGTTTCAAGACTTTCTTTTCTAATGCTTTTCAGAATAATAGAAAGCTGGAAGAGGTTTAAATTAGTTAGGCTTTGTCAGAGAGAATGAAGTTGGAAATGTGTGTTGGATAGAAAGCTCAGTGGGAAAAGGGTCAGAGGTTATTATCCATCTTCAAAAATAGCTGCATACAATCTGTTCCAGCAGTTTACAACATGATTTAAACAGAAAGGGCTTTGAGCTATCCAAATTCAGCAAGTGATTTTTTTCCTAGAAAGATGCATTTCATCCATTGTGAGCTTTCAAACACAAGGGAGAAGAAAAAAACATTGACTTGAATTTTTGAAATCCTCCTTGATCCTGCATGTTAACAGTGAATCCTGCTTCTGAAGAGCTACAGACAGAATGAGGTTCAGGAAAAGGCAACTGATCTTCACTGACAGCAAGTCTTCACTTTTTAACAGTAGATTAACCACATCTCTCACTTTGAGGAGGAAAATTTGGTGCAGCCCAGTGAGAGGCTGAATAGAGCAGGGGTTTTGCTGCACAGGCAGTTTTTGGAGAGGAGGTCACAGATGGAGGCTTAGCATATCAATGATGCTGTTTGCCCACTGACTGGGCTGGGAACTGCAAAGCTACTTTATGCCTTCTAGATGCTGCCTGTTTTGAAAGGTTTTGATTGATGCACTTGCCCTTTAGACTTCAGAACATTAGCTGATTCAGCAAGTCCAGATTTCTTCAGCTACAGACTTTATCAAAAGATTAACAGTAAAACTGACCCTGATTTCCCTAGGAATTTGATATTTTTAAGGCTAGCTTGCCCCCACTTGAGGAACTATGTTTTTATTTATTAAGTGCTACTGTCTCCCTTTCAATTCCTAGGATCCCTCCACACAATACAGCCATTGTATGATGATTCTGTTACTTACACATTTTAAAATATCATCCATAACTATATATGCACTTGATTTTAAATCAAAGTAAACCAGAACAGGATATGCCAGAAGAGAGGAGGCTAATGGGGGGGAAAAAAAAAGTTTGAAAATGCTGTTTGCCTCCCAGCAGGCATG